GATTGAGAATGTAAAGCTTTTATGGGCGTAGCCTGCAAGGCCCTAGGCTCTCCTTGTTACCTCATGACCTAATTCTTCCCATTCTCTCTCTCTCTCTCATGCTCCTCAAGATATCACAAGATATATCAAATTCATGCATGGGACGACTCACAGTATCACAGACATGACAATTTCCTCCAATCTAAAGTAAAAAGTCAGCATTAAAAATCCCAGTAGGGGACGCATAGGTGGCTCAGCGGTTGAGCATCTGCCTTTGGCTCAGGGCATGATCCTGGAGTCCCGGGATCCAGTCCCACATCAGGCTCCCTGCATGAAGCCTGCTTCTCCCTCTGTCTATGTCTCTGCCTCTCTCTCTCTCTGTGTCTCTCATGAATAAATAAATAACATCTTTAAAATAAATAAATAAAAATCCTAGTAGGCTTTGATGTGGAACTTGATGTGGAACTTGAAAGTTGATACTAAAATTAAGAAAGAGTGGGGGGTCCCTGGGTGGCTCAGCGGTTTAGCGCCACCTTCAGCCCAGGGCCTGATCCTGGAGTCCCGAGATAGAGTCCCACATCAAGCTCCCTGCATGGAGCCTGCTTCTCCCTCTGCCTGTGCCTCTGCCTCTCTCTCTCTCTCTCTCTCTCTGTCTCTCATGAATAAATAAAATATTTTTAAAAATAAAATTAATAAAGAGTAAAGATGAACAACCAAGACAATTTTAAAAAGAACATAAAAAAGATGATCTTTTTCCATATATAAAGACTTAAAAGATAAGGGTGCTGGGCGGGCTCAGTCAGAGGAGCATGGGACTCTCGATCTTGGGGTCATTAGTATGAGTTCCATGATGGATATGGAGGTTACTTAAATAAATACAACTTTAAAAAAAGACTTAAAAGAGAGATCAATAAAGTAAGGATAGTAATAAACAGCTCACACTTACTGAGCTTTCCATATGCCAGGCACTGTTGTAAGTATATTAGATTACATATTACATTAATAATGCTTTAAGTATATTACTTAATCCTCAACAACCCTATGAGGTAGGTACTATTATTATCTACTTACAGATATGAACTCTAAGGTATAGGGAAGGTAAGGAACTCATTCAAAGGTACAAAGCTAATAGGCAATGGAAGCAGAAACCTGTGTGGTCTGATGGAAGAATCTGCTCTTCCTTACCTGCTTCATTAAATCACAATTACAACAGTGTGGTATTGGCTTAGAGACAGAAATACAGACCAGTGGAATGGAGAGCCCAGGACAGACCCATGATGAAATGAGACTTTGCTCTATAATGAAGGTAGATTAATAATCAGTATAAAAAGATAAAGAATGGATGAATCACCAAACAGTGCTGCAGCAATTAATTATCCATATGGAAGGTGACAAACTAAGACTTTTTTCACACAGTTTGAAAATTAAACCCAAGACCTATTAAAGACCAAACTGGAGATACAAGAATTAATTAGGCTAAGCTGAAATTAATAACATCTTTATGGGGAAAAAAAAAAGGCTCCATAAGCAAAGCAAACTCCAAGCTATCGACTGGAAGAAAACATCTGTAAAGTATGTAACACTTAAAAGATGAAGAAGCAGAATCTTCAACAATGTCCACAAATAAGTACTAAAAAAAAAAAAAAGAAAGCCAAATAACAGAAAAAAGAGTGAGGGACATAAGCAAGCTCAAAAGCAGAAGTCCTAGGGCAGCCCAGGTGGCTCAGCGGTTTAGCGCCTGCCATCAGCCTGGGGCATGATCCTGGAGACCTGGGATCGAGTCCCATATCGGGATCCCAGGGTGGAGCCTGCTTCTCCCTCTGCCTGTGTCTCTCTCTCTCTCTCAAGAATAAATAAATAAAAATCCTAAAAAAAAAAAAGCAGAAGCCCAAATGCAAACAAGCATCTGAAAAGATGCTGGGTCCCTCTAGGCAACAGTGAAATACAAGTTAAAGCAACAATGAAGTACCACTCCACACCTATCCAGTTGGTGAAGAGGACCAAGTCTGGCAGTGCAAAGTACTGAAGAGGCTGAAAGAAACAGGAAGTGAAATGTCAGCACATAAACTGGCCTAATACTGGAAAGCACTTGGTAATCCTTAGTAAGGATGGAGAGATGGAATACTCAATGATCCAACAATGTTACTTCTAAGAACGAGACTGGAGAATCTCTGACTCTTGCACAAGGATATATGTTTAAGGGCAGCCCAGGTGGCTCAGCGGTTTAGTGCTGCCTTCGGCCCGGAGCATGATCCTAGGGACTCAGGATCGAGTACCGCGTCGGTCTCCCTACATAGAAGCCTGCTTCTCCCTCTGCCTCTCTCTTTCTCTCGCTCTATGAATAAATAAATAAAATCTTTTAAAAAAAGGATATATGTTTTAAAATGCTCTCTGCAACACCGTTAGTAATTGCAAAAATGTACAAGTCATCAAGAATCCATCATTAGTATTAGTACTGACTACTATTGAAGCAGATAACCTGTGCCTTATTCAGACAAGAGCAGTGTACAAGGTTAATAGATCTATACCCACCTACAAGGATAAATCTCAAAAATACACTGTTGCATAAAAAAGGCAAGCTGCAAAGTCCATATACAGTAGAAACACCATTCACAAATGTCATAACTACACAAAACCAGAACATTTCTGCTTTGTGGGTATGTATGTGAACATTTTTACAAGTAAAAAAGATGAGAGAATGACCTTGTATCACTGCAGAGGCCATCTCTGAGGAGGACTGGTGGCAGGAGGGAGGGAAGGGGGCACCTAAGCAATGTCTGGGCAAGAGTGGAGAATGCTAAGACCTTTTAAATCTGGGTGGTGGGTACTTGGGTATTTATTCATGTTTTTATAAACATATTATATTTAGTGTTTCTATGTTTGAAGTATATATATTTGTAACCATTTCCCATAATTCATGATGTCTGTCCTGTCTAGTCCAGAGATGTTGTGAGGGTTAAAAGAAATGACTTATGTATAAGTTCTTGGTAAGCCATATGGTACTTAGCAGACATGAGGCATTATTGCTTATAATCCACACAATAAAATCTGGTCTTAGAGTTTCACACAGCTTTTGGTCCATATCAATATGATCTTGATGACTCATATTTTTCACTGGATTTGATTCTGAATGACTCTTGACTGTTTCAGATGTTAAAACCAACTGCTGACCATGAAAACCTACTATCACTAGAAATATTCTTTTTTTTTTTTTATCACTAGAAATATTCAATCAAATCTGCTGTTCCAAGCTTTCAAGACAATAGTCAAAAGGGAATTCTGGAAGTGTTCTGAGCAACAGTAGTACCAGCAGAATTAATTTATAGGCCTTCAGAGTGGCTCTCTGAAAGAAAGAACACTTGTCCCTCAGGAGCAGAAAATCAGTCTCGTTATGTTTCCATGTTGATAGCACTTTCACATTTGTCAGCTCCCTCTCCTTCCTGAGATTACAAGGCTATTAAGGACAATGCAGCAGGATGGTTAAAAGAACAGTTCTGTAGTTATCAGGCTGCTTGGGTTTAAATCCTGGTTCTGACCTTTGCTAGGTGTCTGACTCTCATTCAAGTTATTTAACCTCCTTAGTTTCCATAATAATAATACTATGGGATTTTTAAAAAGAATTAAGGGGCACCTGGCTGGCTCAGCAGAAGAGCATGGGACCCTTGATCTCAGGGTCATGAGTTTAAGCCCCACATTGGGTGTAGAGTTTACAAAAAAAAAAAAAAAAGACAAACTTAAAAAAAAGAATTAGGGGGGATCCCTGGGTGGCTCAGCAGTTTAGCGCCTGCCTCTGGCCCAAGGCGTGATCCTGGAGTCCTGGGATCGAGTCCCACATCAGGCTTCCTGCATGGAACCTGCTTCTCCCTCTGCCTGTGTCTCTGCCTCTCTACCTCTCTGTATCTCTCATGAATAAATAAATAAAATCTTAAAAAAAAAAGAATTATGAAAATTGAGATAATGCACGTAAAGCACTTAGTCCAGCTCCTAGCATAAGCTAGACCACCATAAATGCTATTTGCTGTTGCTGCTATTCTTATTACTGTTACTATCACTGTCAAGAAATGTCCTTGCTATTGTCTCTGAAGACCTTATGAGTTCTGAGGTCAGCAACTTTTTTCTTAAAAGTCAGATCATAACTATTTTAGGCTTTGCACACTACAGTCTCTATGGAAACGACTCAATTCTGTCCTTGTAGCCTCAATGCTGCACTCTTGGACAATACATAAATGAAGAGGTATAACTTCATCCCAAAAAAACTTTATTTGCAATAACAGATAGCAGGCCAAATATGACCTGTGGGCTAGTCTGCAGACCCCTGACCCAGATGATTGTATATGCTATATGCTATGTGATTTCCACAATACTGCATATATTTTGCATGGTCCATTCAACATGTCAGATTAAAAAGAGATTTACTCCTATGTATAGTAAGAGACACTTCTTTTTGACCTATTCCCTGTTATATTCTCTATAACTGACTTGGAAAACCCAGAAGTACCCAGCAGACCAAAAAAGTGACAGAAACTCACAGTCTATCAAAGATCATAAGAAAACGTCACCACAGCATAGTCTTGGTCAAATGTTAGGCCTTTGTCACTGACCAAAAGCTAGCGGCTTACTCTAATACAAGCAAAATTATATTTAGAAGCCAGGCTTTCTTTACAGCCTTAGTTTTTTTCTACCCTCATTATTTTCCAACTTGTTGTAGGAAAATAGTAATGACGAAATAAAGAATATACTGCTATTTCTTTAATCATATTTATAACTAATTCATAAATCCCTTTCCCGCACCATGATTGGCAGACACACTATACATATCATTGGTAATCACCTTAGCATATTCCTAATAGCAGTCCCTACCCACTGAGCCCAGCCTTGCATGTTGCTTCTGCCTTCCACCCCCTACCCAGGGAGGGCCCAGGACAGAGGCAGCAGCATGAAGGCCAGCGTTCCGCTTGGGAGTCCAACCCCACCATCTGTGGGTGTGGGGCTTGACACCAAAGCCAGTCAGCTGTGCTCACCTGCTGCTGGAGGCTCAGGGCCCTGTGCTTCACGGCTGATGCATGCAGGGCATGGCCCACACAGACCTGTCCCAGTTGTTGCCTCCACCGCCTCCACCAGAGCCTGTCAAGGAACAAATCAAAGATAGAACCAGTAAAAAAAAGGCCACCCAGAAAAGAGAAGGGCAGTGAGGCTTGGGCCTCAGACCTTTGGCTCAAGTCCCTATCTCTCACTGTTCCATCCTGATTGACATCTGGAGTCATTGCTGGAAAAAAAAAAAAAGATTGAGAAACAGTTCTAAAATACCCAATTAAGGGTTGGAAACTGATAGTTCCTAAGGTTGTAGCCTTGGAAACTATAGACATGCTCTATTTGGAACTACACAGGTTTAAAAAATATATCTATGAATTACTGACAACATTAAAAAATCAGGAGATTTTACAGAATAATCAGTAAAAAACATGGCTTTTTGACTTCCAATCTTGGCTTCTTTTCTGCTTATTTTCTAGTTAGTTAGCTATTGGAAAACAGTAATGAGGAAATGAGAGTTTCCAAGCTCTGCTTTGTACAGAAACACTCACTTTGCCTGGCTATTCTAACCTAGCAACATCTCTCTGTTTGAACTTGGGCCAGGCTTAGCTATATCACTCCCTTCAAAATCGCAAGCTAAAAAAAAAAAAAAAAAAAAAAAAAAAAAAAATCGCAAGCTATCTTGCATTACTACTTATATTTTTAAGCATTTAGGGAATTACAAGTTCCCTGAATGCAGTTCCAGCACCCACTATAGTACTAGGAACATTTTAAGCTCCCAAGAAATATATATTCAATAAATAAAATTATGTAAAAATATTCCCCACTGACTCTAATAGAAACCCATACTTATTAAGCATTTAAAAATATTTGTCAAGGGGCATCTGGATGGCTTAGTCTGTTAAGCATCTCTCTTTGGCTCAGGTCTTGATCTCAGGGTCCTGAGATGTAGCCCTGCATAGAGCTCCTTGCTCAGTGGTAAGTCTGCTTCTCCCTCTGCCCCTACCTCCCGCTAATGCCCCCAAATAAATAAAAGTCTTTTAAAAAAATATTTGCCAAGTAAATTTTAAATAACTTAAAGAACTTATTTAAAATAACTTCTTTAAGTTACTTAAAACTTATTTAAGTTATTTAAAATAACTTCTTTAAGTTATTTAAAATTAAAAATAAGGGATGCCTGGATGGCTCAGTGGTTGAGTGTCTGCCTTTGGCTCAGGGCTTGATCCTGGAGTTCCAGGATTAAGTCCTACATCAGGCTCCCCGAAGGGAGCCTGCTTCTCCCTCTACCTATATCTCTGACTCTCTCTCTGCGTCTCTCATGAATAAATAAATTAAATCTTTAAAAAATAATAAAATAAAGAATTTTTAGGTGTACTGATGTTCTGAAGACACTGTGCTAAATACTTTAGCAATTACCATATTTATTTCCCATAACAGCCCTGAAAGACACTTAACAGTATAGGCATCCTCATGTCTCACACATGAGGAAGGAGAAATGTGGAGAGGGAAAGGACCCAACAATACACGTCGAAACATGGATTTGAGTTCAGGTCAGTCTAACTGCAAAGCCTCTGCCCTAATCCATGCTACATAGAGGGCCCAGCTCTTTTGAGCTTTTAATATGTTCCACTCAGGATGCCAAAGGACCACCATAGAGAAGATACAGTGGGATCAGTCCCATTATAAAAAGTAGCTCACTGTTATATATGTCTGGCTTTCAAAGTCATCTAACTCCTGTCCCTCCAAAGTGTGGACAGTGCTGATGAAATGCAGTGTGGGGCAGTTAAGAACATAGGCTTTGGCATCTGAAAGGTGAGTAGATGAGCCCTTTTTTGCTAGTTACAACTCATCTGAGCTCGGACAAGTTACTCAACCTTTCTGAGACTCTATGTGTATCTTCATCTTTACAAAAACAGTGATGATTAAATGAGACTTTACATTATAAAATTAACACACACAAGCTTAATACAGGGTTTGGAACACAGTAAGTACTCAATTAGTGTTACTTCCGTGTGTGAAAATTTGATCGTATAGCTGAAAAAGCTGTCAATCACTATTTATTAAGCATCAATTATGTTTGAAACATTGTTTTTTTTTAAATAAATTGATTTTTATTGGTGTTCAATTTACCAACATACAGAATAACACCCTGTGCTCATCCCGTCAAGTGTCCCCCTCAGTGCCCGTCACCCACTCACCCCCACCCCCCGCCCTCCTCCCCTTCCACCACCCCTAGTTCATTTCCCAGAGTTAGAAGTCTTTATGTTCTGTCTCACTTTCTGATATCTCCCACACATTTCTTCTCCCTTCCCTTATATTCCCCTTCACTATTATTCATATTCCCCAAATGAATGAGAACATACACTGTTTGTCCTTCTCCGATTGACTTACTTCACTCAGCATAATACCCTCCAGTTCCATCCACGTTGAAGCAAATGGTGGGTATTTGTCGTTTCTAATGGCTGAGTAATATTCCATTGTATACATAAACCACATCTTCTTTATCCATTCATCTTTCGATGGGCACCGAGCCTCCTTCCACAGTTTGGCTATTGTGGACATGGCTGCTAGAAACATCGGGGTGCAGGTGTCCCGGCGTTTCATTGCATCTGAATCTTTGGGGTAAATCCCTAACAGTGCAATTGCTGGGTCGTAGGGCAGGTCTATTTTTAATTCTTTGAGGAACCTCCACACAGTTTTCCAGAGTGGCTGCACCAGTTCACATTCCCACCAACAGTGTAAGAGGGTTCCCTTTTCTCCGCATCCTCTCCAACATTTGTTGTTTCCTGCCTTGTTAATTTTCCCCATTCTCACTGGTGTGAGGTGGTATCTCATTGTGGTTTTGATTTGTATTTCCCCGATGGCAAGTGATGCAGAGCATTTTCTCATGTGCATGTTGGCCATGTCTATGTCTTCTTCTGTGAGATTTCTCTTCATGTCTTTTGCCCATTTCATGATTGGATTGTGTTTCTTTGCTGTTGAGTTTAATAAGTTCTTTATAGATTTTGGAAACTAGCCCTTTATCTGATATGTTATTTGCAAATATCTTCTCCCATTCTGTAGGTTGTCTTTGAGTTTTGTTGACTGTATCCTTTGCTGTGCAAAAGCTTCTTATCTTGATGAAGTCCCAATAGTTCATTTTTGCTTTTGTTTCTTTTGCTTTCGTGGATGTGTCTTGCAAGAAGTTACTGTGGCCAAGTTCAAAAAGGGTGTTGCCTGTGTTCTCCTCTAGGATTTTGATGGAGTCTTGTCTCACATTTAAATCTTTCATCCATTTTGAGTTTATCTTTGTGTATGGTGAAAGAGAGTGGTCTAGTTTCATTCTTCTGCATGTGGATGACCAATTTTCCCAGCACCATTTATTGAAGAGACTGTCTTTCTTCCAGTGGATCGTCTTTCCTCCTTTGTCGAATATTAGTTGACCATTAAGTTCAGGGTCCATTTCTGGGTTCTCTATTCTGTTCCATTGGTCTATGTGTCTGTTTTTGTGCCAGTACCACACTGTCTTGATGACCACAGCTTTGTAGTACAACCTGAAATCTGGCATTGTGATGCCCCCAGATATGGTTTTCTGCTTTTTTTTTTTTTAAAGATTTATATATTTACTCATGACACACACACACACACACACACACACACACACAGAGGCAGAGACACAGGCAGAGAGAGAAGCAGGCTCCTTGCAGGAGCCCGATGAGGGACTTGATCCCAGATCCTGGGATCACGACCTGAGCCGAAGGCAGCTGCCCAACCGCTGAGCCAACCAGGCATCCCTGAAACACTGCTCTCAAGGTGGGTTTTCATGTTTTGTAAAACAAGGCTGAGGTAAAATGATGACTGCTGATCTGCAGGGCAAAAGAGCACACTCACCATAAAATACTCTGCTGCCTAAACTCCAGGGCGGTGGTCTGCATCTGAAGTTTGGTTCTACGAAAAACCACGTAGATCAGCCAGGACTTCCAGGCCTGCCGCATCTTTTGCTTTGCATCTAGATGCACCAAAAAGATTTTCAAAAAGGAGTTGGTAGAGAGAGATTACTCTGGGTTATGATAAAAGCTCATGGGCTCTCTGTAATCATCCCTCCTTTTGAATATCTAAATTCTTCCAGCCTTCAAGTGCCCCCTGGTGGAAAAGTTGTGAAGCTCTACACAAAAAATAAGGATGCAGATAGGTGTGAAGAATGGATATTTAAGTGATGGCATTTACAAAATACACTTACAGGGAAATCAATATACTGCACTATTCAGAAATCTTTTGTTTTAAAGCCCTTATTTTTAGAGATATGTTCTATAATTTTTACAATAAAATGATCTGATTAACAAAAAGCAGAGAAGTGAGCCTGGTCTGAGCTAGTAAGTATTGCAGCTGGGTGACAGGTACATGAAGGTTCATTACTCCATCTTTCAATTTTGTCAATTTAAAATTTTCCACAGTATAAAGTTACAGAAGAAGAAATCATGTCATAAACTTGCTGTTTGAAACAATAATTCTTTTTTTTTAAATTTATTTTACGATAGTCATACAGAGAGAGAGAGAGGCAGAGACACAGGCAGAGGGAGAAGCAGGCTCCATGCACCGGGAGCCCGACGTGGGATTCAATCCCGGGTCTCCAGGATCGCGCCCTGGGCCAAAGGCAGGCGCCAAACCGCTGCGCCACCCAGGGATCCCTGAAACAATAATTCTAAAGTACAATAAGAGAAAGAAGAAGAATACTATCTAGATCTACTCGGAAAACAGAATGAAAAGGACCAATATTGATCCTGGAGAAAAGAGACTTTACTATTTACTAGATATAGGAACTGCAAAGGTCCACAGATCTCCCTTTGCGGTAAATTCCATTTTTTGTTATGAAAGTCATCACTAATGAAATAAATTTCTGTTCTTTTTAGAATACAAAGGAGAAAACAATATTATGTCAACCATTTTCAGGGCATTCTCCAAGATGTGATCAGTAGGAGGAGAGCTATATTTATACTTCAGAGCAATTAACAAATCAAAATATGGAGAACATGCAGCTTCCTCAGGCCACTTGGGCAACCTGCTGTGGTTTAGAGTTTGGGTTCCTGAATTAAGACAAACCAGGTTTGAATACTGAATTTGTTACTGAGCTGAGTAACCTCGCACAAATTTCTCATCTGCAAAATGGCACCTTCCTTAAGGATGTGTTTGCCAAGAGTAAATGAGATCATTGATGAAAAGTGTCTCTAATAAAAGCAGGCTGTTATTTTCTGAGGGTGGTACCCAAGAATCTACACTCAAGGTGTCTGCCATGATTCTGGACAATCTGAGAACCACACTTCCCTAAGGCCTGAAAGTACGTTTACTTTCAAAGTACTTTTACTGTTAAATAAAAAACAGTGCAAGAGTGGCTGAAAACTATAGAACACTTGACACAAAGAAATGGAAAAACAGTCCATGCTCATGGATTAGAATAACAAATATTGTTAAATTGTCTATGCTTGGGGATCCCTAGGTGGAGCAGCGGTTTGGCGCCTGCCTTTGGCCCAGGGCGCGATCCTGGAGACCCGGGATCGAATCCCACGTCGAGCTCCCGGTGCATGGAGCCTGCTTCTCCCTCTGCCTGTGTCTCTGCCTCTCTCTCTCTCTCTGTGACTATAATAAGTAAAAAAAAAAAAATTGTCTATGCTTCCCAAAGCAATGTATACATTCAATGCAATCCTTGTCAAAATACCATCAACATTTTTCATAGAGCTGGAACAAATAATTCTAAATTTGTATGGAACCAGAAAAGACCCAGAATAGCCAGAGTGCAGAAACAGAAAACCAAAGCTGGTGGCATCATAATTCCAGACTTCAAATTATATTACAGAGCTGTGATCATAAAGACAGTATGGTACTGGCACAAAAACAGACACATACATCTATGGTACAGAAGAGAGAATCCAGAAATGAACCCTCAATGCTATGGTCAACTAATCTTTGACAAAGCAGGAGAGAATATCCAATGGGAAAAAAAAGACAACAAATGGTGTTGGGAAAGTTGGACAGACCTGCAGAAGAACGAAATTGAACTATTTTCTTTTATCATACACAAAAATAGACTCAAAATGGATGAAAGACTAAATGTGAGACAGGAATCCATCAAAATCCTAGAGGAGAACACAGGCAGTGACCTCTCTGACCTAAGCCACAGCAACTTCTAGCAAGACACGTCTCCAAAGCCAAGAGAAACAAAAGCAAAAACGAACTATTGGGACTTCATCAAGAAAAAAAGTTGCTGCACATGCACAGCTAAGGAAACAGTCAACAAAACCAAAAGACAACCTACAGAATGGGAGAAGATATTTGCAAATGTTTTATCAGATAAGCGGTTAGCATCCAAAATCTATCAAGAACTTAACAAACTCAACACCTAAAAAAATTAATAATAATCCAGTCAAGAAATGGGCAGAAGACCTGAACAGATATTTCTCCAGAGAAGACATACAAATGGCTAACAGACACATGATAAAATGCTCCACATTATTTGGCATCAGGGAAATACAAATCAAAACAATGAGATACCACCTCACACCAGTCAGAATGGATAAAAAAATAACAAGTCAGGAAACAACAAATGTTGGTGAGAAAGGGGAACCTTCTTACTCTGCTGGCGGGAATGCAAGCTGGTATAGCTACAATGGAAAACAGTGTGGAGGTTCCTTAAGAAGTTAAAAATAGAGATACCCTACAACCCAGCAATTGTACTACTAGATATTTACCCCAAAGATACAAATACAATTATCCAAATGGGCACCTGCACCCCAATGATTATAGCAGCAATGTCCACAATAGCCAAACTGTGGAAAGAGCCCAAACTCTTAACCATAGGAAACAAATTGAGGGTTGCTAGGGGGAGAAGGGGTTGGGGGACAAGGTAACTGGGTGATGGGCATTAAGGAGGGCAAGTGTTGTGATGAGCATTGGGTGTTCTTTACAACTGATATAACCTGAACTCTATCTCTGAAACTTATAATACACTATATGTTAATTAACTGAATTAAAATAAAACAAAATAAAATAAAAACAGTACAAGAGTGAACAGACACCCCCTGAGGTCTATGGGCATGGCCTGAGACAACTGTCATACATCAGAAACAATTTTTTTTTAAAGATTTATTTAGGGACGCTTGGGTGGCTCAGCGGTTGAGCATCTGCCTTCAGCTCAGGGCATGATCCCAGGATCTAGTATTGAGTCCCACATTGGGCTCCCTGGGAGGAGGAGCCTGCTTCTCCCTCTACCTGTGTCTCTGCCCCACACCCCGCTCTCTCTCTCTCTCTGCCCCCCGCCCCCGTGTGTATCTCTCATGAATAAATAGATTTATCTATTTATTTTAGAGAGATAGAGAAAGCAGCTGCACATGTACACACCCACAAGCATGGGGGTAGAGCACAGAGTCTTAAGCAGACTCTGCTATCTCGTGACCCTGAGATTACAACTAAGAGTCAGACACTTAACCAACTGTGCCACCCAGGTGCCTCCAAAAACAACTAATTTTATCTGAAGAATTCAAGTGACTTTTCCTTCTATTTCACAATATAGCTATATTTATTATAACCGCAAGTAATATAAGATAGCAGAATGTGCATTTCTCAAATATGGAATATTCACAAGATAAATGTTCTGAAACAAAAATAAATCTGAACCAACAGAACTGAAATCACACTAAGTCTGTTTTTTCATTATAATGGGGTAAACTAGAAAATCAGTAAGGATATTTTGAACTATTTCTATAAATATAGAAAGGTATTAGAAAGTCCCCAATATGGGACTAAAGACACTTCTAGATAATCTGTGGGTCAAAAAGGAAGTCTTATCGGAAATTAGAAAACATTTCCTACTGAATGAAAACAGAATTGCAAATATTAAAATCCGTGGGGTGCAGTTAAACTCATGCTTAAAGGTAACTAACTTTATTACAATAAATGCTTGTGTTGAAATAAAGGAAAGGCCTCAAATCAATAATCTCAGTTTGCATCTTAAGAAACTAAAAAGGAAAAAGCAAATTAAAACCAAACCTTGCAGAAGTGAGATAATGTAAAAACAGGAACAGAAATCAAGGAACTTGAAAACAGAAAAACAACAGAAAATGAATACAAAGGCTCGTTACTTGAAAAGGTGGATAAAACTGATAAAGCTCTAACCACACTTACCAAACATAAAAGGCTAAAAACAAATGATCAATATTAGAAAAGAAAAAGGAGCTATCACTACATTCCCTGCAGACATTAACATTATAATAATGGAATACTTCAAATGATTCTATACCAGAAATTCAACAACATATTTAAAATGGACCAATTCCTTGAAAAACAAATTACCAAACCCATTCAAGAAGGAACAGGTAACCTAAATAGTCTAACATCTACTCAAAAACTTGAATTCAAAGTTCAAACCTCTCTAACAAAGAAAACTTCAGGCCCAGAAGAGTTTACTGAAGAATTTTACCAAATATTTCAGGAAGAAATAATACAAATTTTACAAATCCCTTTTAGAAAATAGAAGACAATAAAATAATCCCCAACTCATTCTATGAAGTCAGTATTATCCCGAACCAAAACCAAAGACATTTATAACAAAAGAAAATACAGGCCTATATCCTCATGAACACAGATGTAAAAATCCTCAACAAAAAAATTTAGCAAATTGAACCTAGCAATATATAAAGAATGGCATCAACATGAGGAATGTAAGGCTGGTTCAAAATTTGAAAATTGCTGCTTCACCATAGTAATGCACTAAAAATGAAAAAGTGGTGAATTACCTCAATAGATAAAAAAAATCATTTGACAAAATTTAATGCATCTTATTGATAAAAATGCTCAGAAAACTAGGAAGAGAATTTCCTTAACCAACAAAGGACATCTACAAAAAACCTACAGCTAACATCATATTTTATGATTAAACACTGGATGTTTTTCCCTTAAGTTCAGGAACAAGGTGGGGATGTTCACTGGAATCACTCCTATTCCATTATTTTCCTGGAC